ATTTCCGCTAAATCTTTGCTTTATTTGCTTTTCCCAAGCAATCAATACCTCGTCACAATTACGTCACGGGAAGGGCAGCACTTTGCAAGATATCTAGGAAGTCAAGATACCCTTGAGTCACTGCGGGCGACCCAGAACGCAACCGATGGTCACTGCGCCGTTCGTGGGGCGATTTAGCGAGTGCTGGCATCGAACTTGGTGTTAATTGCTTATATAACTGTAGCTGCTATTCACGGCGAGTTTGCATTCTACTCGCCCTGTTGTCGACGTTCTGATAGCACTGTTATCGTGCTGCGAACCCCTGATGGATTTCGAAAATGCGGTGACGGTAGCATTTCCATTGCTCGAACTGCCCGAGGAGCTTCAGATTGAAGTGCTGCGGAAGGTAGGTCAAATTTTCTGGATTTCCTAAAGCTTAATGGTATTTTCTTCTTAGTTAACCCCGCAAGATGTCAATAGGTTCCGTTGCACTTCGTCCCAGATGTACGCGATGGTCGAAGGAAATCGAATGTCACTGGCAAGAAGAAAAATCAGATCCGTCTCTATCGCTCCTGTAAGCCTAGCATTCTGAAAATAAATAAAAAATTCTCTTAAAATTTCAGAACTGGAGCGAATTGGTTCCCAGACGCGAAAACATACCCGCAGCAGAACGTCTGAACTACGACGAGTTTGAATTTGCTCGTCTGTTCCGTGCCTGTGATATCGATATGCTGCACATTGTTAATGTAAGTACATTATTGAAAATATTTTCTTGCACTGGCGCTCCTGGCGCACAATCATCAAGTACACGATTTACCTGTTGACGATTCTACCCTCAATGAATAACAATAGCGATCTTACAATGAAGTCCACCTTGCACGCTCTGTGACCTTTTCATGCTGAAGCTTACAAAAATATTTCTACAGAAGAGGGAAGTGGGTTGTCTGCAAGCTCCGTTATAATGACCATTTCACTATTTACAAAAGTTTACTGTAGGGACCATGTAGAACTCAGATCGATAGCTGTT